TGGGCATAAAGTGGTTTCCTATTCCCCACGTGTTTATCATTAGCAAAAGACATCAAACTAGATTAGGAAATTCGGAATCAAAGAAACTTCAAATCTCTCAGCCTCGGGGTTTTCCTCTGATAAATGAGGGGACTGAAATAAGTCATTTACATTGTCATTCCTGCTTTACAGTTCATAAAATATTTTCACACTTTTTTTCTTAATTGTTACTTAAAATCACCTTGTGAGTTTACTTAAAATCACCTGAGATGTTAAGCTACTAACCTGCAATTCATCAGTTAGTGGAGCCAGGGATTTGAACCAGATAGGACTGTCTCCAAACCTCTCATCTTAATGGAAAATCCAGTTACCATCTTACAAAAGTGGATTCTATCACCGACAACCTAAGATTCCGAGTGTTATGTGTACAGTCGTTTCTGTAGCTATTTATTATAATGAGTGTAAATTGGACTAAAGCTACCACCATTCAAAAAGAGGTAATAAATCTATAGATGATTACGAGGAACTAATCTAGACATGTCATGAGGTAAAATGACAGTTGGAGAGCATTTTCTGATTTCTGCATGCATGATTGTGCTAAATGTCTGCAAGTTAATAGAAGAAATTCTTTTCTTGGCAGGACCCATCTTATCCTTTCCTATAAAATAAATTTGCTAGGATATTTAATGAGAAATTACCATTGTGGTCTGTTCAATATTTTTGATGTGATCTCAGTGCCTCAATTACTCTTTTTCTGTGATCTTATAGGTTCTTGTTTTCTGGAGGCACTTTATAAACATGCAAGAAAGAGAGATGGTCTTCCTATGGAAAACTTTGGAGATTATTGCACAGGGGTGTGATAACAGGGGGCTTGAGGGATTTGTGGGACCCTTTTGTTATTCATCTGAAGATTTCACCAGGCTCCCTGTTTCATCCTCACTATACCTAAGTGGCAGAAGGACAAGCCTCTTCTCTCTCACTTCTACAGGCTCAGGTTCCTTGGGTGCAGAACAACACCCTCAGTAGTGACAAAGTCTAGAGGTTTCTCTCCCCCATGAACAGCTCTGGCACTAACCCAGCAGTAATGTGTTCTATGGGGAGGGAAGTGGGAGTATGGATGAGCAGGAAAAATGAGGTCAGCTTTCAGAGCAGTCAACCATCTCTGATGAGCTGACTAGACTGTGAACTGCAGATTATTTACTGCAGGGAGATGTCCACAACGGGAGACACTCAGTCTGGCCAGACCCTGAGTCCCTCCCCCAGGGCATCAGGATGACATGGTCACAACATAGGGGACACTAACTCATAGCCAGGTCCCAAATCTCTTTATCCCAGAGAGATTTCCTCTGGTCCCTCTGAGTATTACCCAGGGGAAATGCAAGTATTGGTCCATACTGGAATGGGAAAGAGATAGTAAAATTTATCTGGAACCATCTCAAGTTGGTAGCTTGTATGAGTCATCTTTATGTCTAGCTTTAAGCCATACTAGCAACCTTTGCCCCACGGGATGGATTCCAATTCCTTCTGCATTCTGTCAGAGGCCATGCATCTCTCTACCTTTGCATTCACCTAYCTGCCCCATAATGAGCAGTACAACTGCCTTCTCTTTCACTATGAGGAACACAGGCCAGGAACCTGGGTTTCTAGGCCAGGGTAGCAGCCCCACCCAACACCCAGCACAGTGCATGGTAATTGACTAGGGTTTAATAAATACTTCCTCTTATTCAAGATATTCTCTTTCCTTTGAGATAGGGGAAGAAGAGAAATAGAACCATTGCAAAAATAAAATAAATGCACCAGTAATCCTAATCTTCCTTTTAAACAATATCTTCAGGATGTCCCCCTTCCTACAAATCTTTACCATACTTTGAATATTTTCAACAAAAGCACCAATTCCAAGTTCTTCCATCCTTGTTCATTAGCATCATTAGCACCAGTGTAGCAGCTATGTCTTCTGAGGAGCCCTTTATACATGCTCAAGGGCTGTGGGGTATAGAAGGTGAAATGTGAGTTGTTGTGTAACATGAGCACAACTGAGGGACGTGCTGAAATGTGACCTGGGTGGAAGAATGTTCACCTGAGCATTTCATTTATTCTAGCAAAAACCTGCAGTCTCATAATCAATACTTGGTCATGTAAATATAATACATTCAGAGAGTAGGTAATATTATGCTAATAATAAATATCATGTTTTGGTAAATATACATGATGGCAAGGGAAAATGCACCCCATCTATTAGGTGAAAAGCAGTTCATAGAATGGAGCCTAATCATAATTKTACAAATGTGACTACATAAAACATTGGGAAGAAATGTACCCAATTATAACATCCGGATGACACAGAGTTTTAAAGTCTGTCTAAACACTTCATATAGTTTAAATTTTATTTGACAAAAAATATGTTTCATGTATAATTTTAAAATATACTATTTAAAATATTTTAAATAAAAAAAATTCCACACCACTCCACAATAAAAAAGGAAGTCATATTCTGTTCCGGCCTACTGTAGTTGGGATCTTGAATGTCCCCCAAAAGCCCATGTGTTGAAGCTTTGGTCCCCAGGGTGGCACTCTTTGGAGATGGTTGAACCTTTAAGAGGTGTTGCCTAATGAGAGGTCTTTAGGTTTCTGGGGGTGTGTCCTTAAGGAAGGTTGCTGAACTCTGACCCCTTCCTCACTCTCTTCTGTTTCCTAACAAATAGGTGAGCAGTTTTGCTCTACCACATGCATCCATCATGATGTGCTGCCTCACCACAGGCCCAAGAGCAACAGAGCCAACCAATYATGCACTGAAATCCCCAAAACTGTGAACCAAAACAAATCTTTTCTCTTTGAAGTTGATCATCTCAGGAATCTGTTTTAGTGATGKAAATCTGGTTAACACATTCCCCCAGTTATTTTCAAAATTACATCCTAAAGCCTCCTCCAGATACCATTGCTTCTTTTATTATATTTATATAAATTATCCAGAAAATTCCATCCAAAATCAAGTGACAGTTCCAACCCTAAAAGTCAAAAGAKGAGTTTTTTGTTTGTTTGTTTGTTTGTTTGTTTGTTTTGGTGTGAAATGATTCCTATCTGGAAAAGAGGTTGACAGGAGATATCTCAGGGGTAAGCTAGAAAAGCTGGAAGCAGATGGGGTGGAGAAACCCCCTGTGAGGCAAGGACTGGTGCTGGTTTCACAGGTCATTCAGTTTCTCTTAGCATCTTAACCCCCATCTGTGAAAAGAAGATCTAACATCTTCTCTGTCTACATCATAGGCCTGCTCTAGGGCTAAATAAAATGATGCGTGTATTCTATTTTTGAAACTACAAGGTACCAAGTAAATAAAAAAAGTTTGGCAATCCAAGAATGCGGACTTCTTAGAAAAATAATCAGTGCTTCACATTTTCTTTCAAGATATCAAAAAACACAATCTAAACCCCTCTCAAATACTCTTGAAATCACCGTGAATTTTATCAGCCACATCTGATTCATTTTGTTTCCATGTACCTTGGCCCACTATAACAAAACTGTGWTATATATACACTCAACTTGTTTATTTCTCTCTTGGGCACGTGGGCAGATTGACTTTCACAGCTTCCTCTGCAGGAAAGTGGCCAGGATACTGGATTCTTGCCATTGGAATATGGATGGAAGCAAGATATAGCCCTACCAAGGCCAGGCTGGGCCCCCCAAATTCCCGGGAGATCCTCCACATTTTCTTTCCTTGTTTCCAGATCTTACTGAAGATCTGGACTTTGAGCCTCCCAGAAGGTAGTGACATATTTGACAGAAGAAAACTGAGTCCCTGTATCAGTGGCAGGCTACTCACCCAACACCCAAGATGATGGGGACAGTGAGAAATTACCTGAGATTTGTAGGATCACCTATGATGCCAGTTGCCTCCCCTGACTATTCTATCCCATGATCATGGCCACCTCTCCATACCAGAAACTGTCACCTCTCTGCTGCTCCCCACACAGTGGTTAGAGTGAACACAGAGCACATGAGTTTAACCCAACTTTCACCCCAGAGAAAACCCACCCCACCCCCCAAAAATCAGCACAATCTTTTAAAATTCTCTGGCAGATTTAAAATCTGTTCTCGTAATCTTTTAGGGAAATGAGGAGGTTTGTGATAATATAACTAAGAGAAAAGAAGGGGGAAAACACCTTTGATAAATTTTWAAAAATTTAAGATGAGTTACAGATATAAAAGGGTTACAGTTTGCCTTGGGTTCAATCCTCAGCATCACATACAAAAATAAACAAGTGAAATAAAGGTGTTGTATCCAACTACAACTAAAAAATAAATATTAAAAAAAAAAGTAGAGAGATTAGGAAGGGACTCTACACCTCATTTAGAAGATGTAGATAATGGAAGTAGAGTCCTTCATATAGTTAATTCTTAATGATTGATGTCCAGCTCTTTCCACAGGTCGCTTTAAAATCTTGATTTTAGGGACCTACCATATTCTTTTGACTCAAAAATCTCACCCACTTGTCTTAATTTCTAAAATCTTTGTTAATAGCACAATGACAATCTCTTACCATATGCCAGATATTGAACCATATGTCTTACATATGTAACCTTATTTAATTCTTACTACTGTTCTATTCACTCATGAGAGATCTGAGCCTGAATTAGGACAAACCCTTTATGCAAGGTCATACTGCTAGTAAGTGGACACCAGGACTTGGACTCCAGTCCAAATATCTCTAGGTCCTATACTCTGAGTCACTGTTCCTTATAGTAAACCTGATTACTAGGAAGCCCTTAGCACTACGTAGACCAATAATATCTCTTAGAAAGGAGACACTGATTGAGCAGAGAGAGGGTAAGAGTAGAAGGTTTGGAGGATACACTCTCAACACAGGCAGGCCTGGTTGGATCAGAACACTGTGGGGGGTCACATGAAAGCATCAGGCTCTGAGCAGTRGAGCTCCCAAAAGCAGAAGGGTAGATAAAGGAAGAGCTGCCCAATTCTCTACCTTAACTCTATCCAACCCTGCTTGTCCTTGCTCATAGAGAAACTTACCTGGTAAGGGTACAGGGTGACTCCATTGGTTCTTGAAAGGGACCAGGTGCCATCCAGGTATTGATGAGCCTGAATGGCCACCGAGTTAAGGATGTTCCCATTGCTGGGACTTGTGGCCATCTGGAGGCTGACCTTGGCCTGATGGGTGGGGGACCCACTCTTCTTTTCTGCTCCATTGCTGACCCCAAGGCTATTGGGCTTGCTGCTGTGCTTGTTGACAAGGCCTGTATAGTTGGAGGTGGCATACGGGGCAGGCACAAAGGCCCAATCCCTGGGCTGCTGGAGCCCACCCCCATGCCGTGACCCCACCAGGGTGGAGGCATTGGAGAGYGGTGGTGGTGATCCAGGTGAGGCATCATAGTGCTCACTGCCAGCTGCCTGCTCCAAAGTCAGCACCATCTGGATGGCCTCCTGCTTCAGCTGGTTCAGGTGTGTGGCACAAATGTCACAGCGGTTGTCTCGGTCATTCCATGCCTTCCGGATGGTATTAGGGACCTGGAGCTTGTCATGAATCACAGCTGAGAAAGCAGGATCCTGGAGAACACATGAACAGAGAAAAAGGAGAGTCTGTAACTCAAAGCTGATGAGCTCAATTCAGATGTCTGGTTGATGAGTCAAAGTCTAGTTGTACCCAAAGAATTTGATTGGCATTTATCCACCAGATGGGCAGAAGAGTCTACAGTTGACAAATACATTACACAAATGTAAGAATTTTGAAGTGAAAACTTCAAAGGCATTACAAAACAAAATATGTTTTAAACATAATTTTTAAGTATTCTTACAGGCCAGTCAATAGGAACATTTCAGATTCACCTTATGTCCACTAAAGAATAATAGCCAACCTGGACCCTCCTTAGGTGTTCAACAGAAGACATTATTGTCTGTCTAGATAGGATGGTGGAGGAGGGTGAATGTAGACATTCTGGACACTTGCATTGTGGATCCATGGTTCCTATTATCCCTAGAAAGTTGGTAATGGATGAAAGTGCTACTTGGGACCACAAACAGAGATTCTGTTAGAAAATCTTGATTTCATCAGCACCATATGCTAAATGTCATTGGAAGGAAACCAGACCAAAGCAGATTCTTAACCAGAGGTCAGTTGCCCCAGTAGCACAGCAAACCTCTGAAGATTAACTAGTATTTCTCATTCACCCTCTCTCTGTATCCATGTATATGATTTCCTGACCCATTACAATAGTCCAAGATTCTTTCCCCACAAAATTCATCTAAAACCACTCTTCAAAAATCTTAGAGCTGCACAGTAGTGCACACTTTAGTCCTAGGCTGAGGCAGAAGGATCACTTGAGCCCAGAAGTTTGAGACCAATCTGAACGATATAACAAGACCAACATGAAAATAAAAAATCTTTAGTTCAGAGGCCACACTTAATACATACCTAAAAGAAATCAGAAAATGGATTTAATGAGGATTATGTCTCTAGTTTACTTYGCTTTAACCTTTACAGGAAAACAGAAACACACCAAAAACAACATTAGGAATGTTAATTGGGCATTGGAATAGTTCTGCTACTTGTGACCTTGGAGTTCAGTGTGACCTTGGACAAATTACTTAATCTCACTGATACTCTAATCTATGTCACAGCCTATCCTTGTTGGTAATGTCCTACCAACTCAATAACTCCAATAGGAGTCATATAGAATCCAATAGAGAATAGTACTTGCCTGTGTGGACAAAGTCATTATGGTATGTTTTAGGTTGAATAGGCTGCTTGAACTTTTGAGATTCAACAGTTGTTAGAAATAATTGATGAGGCTCATCTCAAGTGTTATTTTCCTTTAGGACATTAGAAGAAAATCTGCTCCTCTGAAATTTGCTGTTAATTTTTATGGAGCAGAAAATTCATCAGGGATGAATCGGGTGTAYTGAGCTACGGGTGAGGGGGTGGTGTGGGGCATCCAAAGTGGACAGGAAGATCATTGGTGGGAGGGTCCTTCTTAATTACGATCCATCTTGATTATGGGTTCCTGCATTTTGTTTTCCTTGTTTAACTACCTTGAACAGCTCCCCAGCATGCACTGATTAATTGATTAATAAGTCAAGAGGCCTCTTTACACAGCCACAGCAAGGAGTAGCTCAGGAGGTAGAAACTCAAGATAGTCATATAAAATGATGGGAAACAATGGGAGGTCAAGGTTGATCAAGTCTCAGTTGACAAAGAGATGCGAACCATATGAGGCTTGTCTGGTGACATCCTTCTCAATGACAGCTGCTTTGTCCAGACAGTCTCTAAGCCCAACTTAGTGCATGGGGGATCTAAAAGAGTTTCTAAGGAATCATTCTAGAACAAACGGTCACCTCAACTCCAAAAGAGTTAAAAGTTTGGATTATACCCATACTTTCTTCATCACTAATCCAAGATWTTTTTACTTCAAGAGCCAAAGAGACATATCCATATTTAATACRCTCATAGTTTTTGCACAGAGATATAAGGTTTTATAGGAAATATTCATTTATTCAAAAAGAATTTATTTGGGTTTCCATATGTGCCAAKATATATTTTCTTGCTTTTTCACATAACATTATATGATGAGAATTTTCGTTATCAATAAATGCTATTTGAAAATGTTATTTTTAATGACCATATGGCATTTTATCTTTTGGTTGTTGCATAGTTCACTTCTTCCCACATTCTCCTGTATAATTTAAGATAATATGATGGGGCTGGGGTTGTGGTTCAGCGGCAGAGCACTTGCCTAGCACCTGTGAGGCCCTGGGTTCAATCCTCAGCACCACATAAAAAYAAATAATTAAATAAAGGTATTGTGTCCAACTACAACTAAAAAATAAATATTAAAAAAAAGATAATGAGAAACAGGAGAATGGTACTTAAATGCAATCCATAACTGATGATATACACTTTCAAGTCACCAAACTATTTGGTTTCAAGAAGCTTCAAATTAATTTCTTATTTAGAATATTTTTGTTAACCCAATCATATGAAAGAAATGCTACAGTAAAATGAAGCTATAAGTCATATCCACACATCACAGTTTATTTCAGATGTTAAATGCTTAGCCTTAGATTCTGGATTTCATTTTAACATGGAGACACATCCACTCTACAGAAACTGCAAAAGCCATCCTTAGTTCTGAGAATTCCTTTTCTCTTCTCTTCTTGTTTTTTACTACTTTCCCTTGCAGCAGGTCTATCTTTATTGAACCTATTACTATTTGTAGCTCAACTTGCAACATTGAACAAATAGGTATATTGGCTTCAACTTGCCAGATACCTCACCAGACTGGGAATCTGAGAATACATAGAAGCAATTCCTGTCCTCTGTGAGTTTACCATCAGATGAACCAAGAAGGCTTCCTGGACTACCCCAATGCCATATCCCTTGCTGTCACCTCTAGTCCAGTCTATAGCAACTCCCATTACCAATCCAAAGACACATCATGGAGCTCAATGTTCCCCTTTGGTTCACAAGATGTTAACAAGAACTCCAGTTCCCCAGGGCTCTCCTCCACTCACACATGTGCTAACCAAAGCCAGCCCTGTRAAAGTCAACAAAACCATCCATGAGTACTCCAGTTGAGCCTATTATCAATATGGTGGCCACAGACAGACAAGAAGGAKTCCAGTGTGGTCTCATTGTGGAGGAAAGCTGAGATTGATTATTTAATGAGTTTATAATTGCTGCTTGATGTCAAAAGAGGTGATCCCTAAGCTAAGCAACYCTCCATCTGAAACCCTATGTTAGTTCCTATCATCAAAAGTCTTCATTAAGTCAAGAGAGACATTTTATGAAAACTAAAATGCCTTTCAAGTGCTTGTCCACACATTATAAATATTTTAGTGCAACTCAAAACTTCAAAGAGGAGTGATCAACAGACAAAGCTTTCTGTAAGTGCTGAAATAAACAGGAGACTGCTTCAAGGAAAAGCAGTAATATACAAGGAAAAATGAGAAAGAAAAAGTGCTGAGGGCCATTGCCAAGTAGGAATGACGCATGGAAATTTCCTTGCCAGCGTACCCCATGTTAAATGGACTTGCCTTGGAAATTCGCTGTGACATTGCATGTGTGTTTGAGAAAGGTGACCCTGCTCAAGGATCAGGGTGGATCCAGGTTTAGGGTGTATCCTGCAGGTTTTAGGAAGTATCTGGATCCTTGGGTTTAGGGCGTTCCCGGTTTAAGACAATCTGGGTTTAGGGCAGTTCCAGGTTTAAGGTTATTCCTGCTGGGAATAGGGATAAAAAGCCTCGTGGAGAACATGAATTGCGTGTTTGTAGAAGGCCCGTGTGAGTTCGGGAATAAAGGATTGCTGTTTGAATCTACAAGGCTGTGAGTGGCTCGTGATCTTGTGCCCAGCCAGACTGCGGCAAAAAAGCATTGAGAGTCATGAATGATACACATGAACAGTGCTTTCCTGATATGGATCCAAAAAGGACGACAGTGGCCCAGGAGATGAGCTAAGGAAGCATCCCTGGTTAGCTGACACCAAAAGAAACCTGCACCAAGAGAAGTAATGGACTAAGCATCCAGTTTGGCAGGCTACYTTGCTAATGGGCCTCAAAGACATTTATACTGTCTAGTTCTGGTCCATTTTATGACGTCAGGAAATAGATGGAGCAGTGATGAACCACCCACAAACTGAACCCCTATTTTTAAGGCCCATATGAAAATTGGTTCTTGGCACTTGGGAAACATTTTCATCCTTTTTAAGTTTAGGGGGTCTGCATTCAAAATACTCTCATCTTTCAGGAAAATGTACAAAATCATTTTTGCCCCATCTCTCATGAGAGGAATTTTAAAAGACATTCAGGAAACTGATAAAGTTCTTCAGAAGGAAGGTTAGGGATAAATGAAGTTAATGTTCAGACACCTAAATATGTCCAATTCATGAGAGCAAGGAAAATTCCATGTTTTTCTGATCCCACTATCTCCTGTACAGAGTATTTCAGGAAAATGGGGTCTCCTGTCACATCTCTCATAGTCTAGTGACTCATTTTTAAAATTGACTCCCATCTTCTGGCAGACTTCATTTCCCCACCAATTATATCCAAGCCCGTGGCTTCAATAGCCACCCATATCCTGGTGACTTGAAATTCTCCCTCTATCCCTGCCTGATCTATAAACCATAAGCCAAAATAAACCTTTTCTCATTACAAGTTGATATTATCTCAGGTATTTGTTATCAGTGACAGAAAGTTGACTGACACAGCCACTTATTATACAATTATCATGAAATGAACTCTTTTGAAATGTTAGACTAAAACCGTTTTCCAACCATAACTGTTATACCTGCCTAAAAAGCCTCATGCGGTTTCCTCCTTTCCCTGATTCTTCCTTCAACTATTAGAATAGATTCTCTAGCCTCCATTAATCTATTAATCTTTTTCCTGGATTCCCAAGAAAGTAACATTTCAATACAAAGGAATTTTTTTTAAAAAAATGTTTTAGCCATCAGTACAGCTCATCAGAAACAAGACAACAGAAAGGAAAATTCCAGACCAGTAGGACACTCTGGGTTCTGCAAGTTTGACTCCCCAGCAAGCAGGTATGGTGCTTA